TTGACATACTTGGGAAGGATATTAGATGCCATCCAAAAAGTTAACAGAACATATTAAATAAATAGGAAGAATTTAATTATACTGGAAGGTGATTCTGAAAATCAAATTATTAGTGGCAGTTAAGATATGCAGATAACATAGCACTGATAGCAGATATGTAATGTCAAGAAGACAGAATGCATGTCCTGCAAATTACACATTGGAGATACCAAAATCACAGTGAGGATCTGAAGGTGCATTAGGAATGTGATTCCATCAAAAAGAAGGATACTGAAGATTTAATTACCATGGAATGAACACATGAACAACAACAAAATTTTTCTACAGAAGGATAATGGAAACAAAAACATGAACAACATAAATTTTAGAGAAAATGGAAACAAAAAGAAATAAATGATGGGTTGAAATTACTAGTGTACATAACGGGGAAAGAGGGCTTGGAAAATTTGACACTCCAAGATAAATTGAAAGCAAGAGGGACAAAAGAAAGCAATGCATAGCCTACCTAATAAGCTTGTGTAAATGGTTGGCAGAACAGAGAAATAGCAAAAAGACATAATTTAATAAGGGCTACAAACAACAGGAAGCTGTGAAGAGCCATGATTGCCCACATACTGAGGAGACATGGGGGACAGAGGTAGTATGTATTGATACGTACATATGATAATTTACTCTAATCCAGCTATATTAACCTGGATAAATTAAAACATATTCAGTCTGTTGTAACTGTTTTAACACACCCACACACATACACACACACACACACAATTAGATACTGAAAATTAATTCTCAGTTTGACCCACTGCTTTCAAAATGACCTAGATTAGAATACTGATTTTTGGATGTGGGTTAGTCTAAGAACTTTTCTCTCCCATCTTATATGCTCACACATACACATGGGTTAGTGGTGATGATGATTAAATTAAAAAGTAATGGCTGGTCCTGTCTAATGAAAGCTGGTGTTGTTTTCACATTGGTAATCATATGAATTTTGATTATATACATCTTTCTAAAGAATTAATGGATTTATTTTTAATCTGACATTTTTATTACACAGGCTCAGGCTAATACACACTGTTTAATAAATAAAAATGGTGTGTCTATTTAAAATATGAAATGTCCACCATAATAACATTTGTGTATAAATATACATGCATATATATATATGTACACACACAAAATGATATATACAATCTAGATTATATATATATTATATATATATATATATATATATATATATATATACACACACAATGACATATACAATCAAATCAAAAGTATATACACTCTCTCTCTCTCTCTATATATATATATATATATATATATATATATATATATATATATTTTTTTTTTTTGAATTTGTAGGTCTGATGAATTGGATTGTGATTACTATTCCAATGTAATAAATTGTAACCATGAAATATTAGTGTTTGAGACTTTTACATTATATTATATTCTTACTCTGTCTTGTACATTAAGCTCTATCTGGATTTTATCCGTTTGAAAATATATATATATATATATATATTGACCACTAATATTATCAATATATATATATATATATATATATATATATATATATATATATGTATGTATGTAAAAAAAAGCTACAGTATATGTTCATAAAATATATATAACTATAAATTAAACATAAGTAAGTAGATCTTTTAATTCAAGTCATCAGTAAATCTTAAAGACTTTTAATATATTTTTGACACATTTACTTTTACTTTGATCAATTCTTTAACTTAGTCCTTTTTAATTAAATTATGAGGTAACATTCAATGTCAGATATACTTATTCTTACAAAATGAGACACTTCAAAGATACTTACAAACATTTTATAAAATATTTACTCATAAATGTGCTGTTCATGAAATAATCCTTTCAAAAAATGCCAAAATAAAAAATTAGCAGAACTTAACATTACTTTGTCCTAAAACTTTTACTTTGACTCATAATCAACACTTATTTTTTACATCATTTTGTCCGTAAGCCTTTTTTAAGTTTTCTATGCGATATAAAGTAAATCTTGAACAGTAAATAAATGCAAGTGTAGACAAAAGCTACTTATAAAATCACAATGTATTTAACAAGTTTAATATACATTAGTTTTTTTTTTATCATTTAACCCCTAGCAAGGCCAACAAGACACAAGAGTTACTGAGTATGAAAGAATAAGAGAAAAAGAAAAACCTTATTAAGGAGAAATAACAATTAAAGAAAAGGAATTAAGAAGACAGAAGAAGTACCTGACTCCTCATGCTATCTTCTACATTTATAAGAGCCAGTTAAGGCAGAAAATGGAGTATTATTGCCATATTTGGATGGGAGCTGCGTAGACCTCACTTTCCATTCTTGATAGAATTTGAAAGCATCTCAGAGTCTTTGTTGGAGAAGAATTATTTTCCACCCTCCAACCTCTCTCTCACAGATGGGATATGGCAAGTCTCTCACTGTTCTATCACTACTACCATGGAAAGTGCTCAGACAAAATGCATTTCTTGGCTCCACCTGGTCTGACCTTCATGGCTAGGACCCACCATGACACTTATGTATTACATAGTAGCAAAACACCCACATTCACTCTGTATTCCATCAGTAAGAAGTATAAGTTCTACTGAAACAAATTTTCCCATGAATCACTGCCCTATTGAACAGACTCCCAAGAGGATGTTTCCTCAATCACTACAATCTTAACCTCTTCAGGTCTAGAGTCAACCATTATCTTCCCCTCCTATCCATATAAGCTACCCCTTAATGTAACCCTCTACCTCAAGTGGCCCCCAGACTTTGTACAGGGTGAACCTTACTGTTAAAAAACAAAACAAACAAAAAAAAACAATTGATATTGTATTTAAATTTTTTAAGTTCAAAATTGTCTGGTGAGCAAAAAGCTGAAGGAGAGTTCCACAAGTGAAAAGTGTGATAGAAGAAACTATTAGCAGAGAACTTACAGTTACATCTAGCAATTTAAATTTGCCAGCAAACTAGTACAATACCAAAAGTCTAGGTACTAAAGAAGAAAGCACATTAGAACAATGACCATAAAAATCATTACTGAAAAGCCCCTAGGAAGCAACTGCATCCAAGATGTCAGGTCAGGATTGACAACATTGCAGATTATCAAGAATTTATAAATACATAGGAGAAGCACCAGACCAGATGTGGCAGCAATATTCAATGCATAATAATAAAACACACACTTGTCAACAATAATTTCCCATAATTTTGATAACAAAATATGATTGATTTAAAGAAATTTAGACAAATAAGCAACCAACTTGATATAAACAAAAATAAATAATCAATTAAGTTATTTTATCATAAACTAGATGCATCCTAATCATAAACAAGATGAAAAGGTAATTATAATTTACCGGTTAATGGTCCTAACAAATAGTTTAGATTTACCATTTATTACAAAAAAAAGAGTCTCATCACTTCAGAAATCTACCTCATGTAAAAAGATATTGTTTATGAATTCTTATGTCCTTTGGGAGATTGTATCTCAAACACTAGCAATCAATAAACAACATTAAAATCTTACATTAGCCATACATGCACCATACTCTCTTGTGTAGTGACTTGTCATTTATCAAAATTTAGTGCAATATATATATGTATATAATATCACACATTGAGTGCTGATGTCAATAAAATAGTGCTCAATGTAATATAACAGAGCTATTAAGTTTTTATCAATAAATATACATTTTTTCCTCACTGTTAGCATTAGAGTTTCATGCACAATGCAATCTTCAAGTGCTGAATATTAACTGACTGTTAGATAATTTAAAGTTTAATAAATATATCTGGTTAACACAATGTTGGTGCATATGGGGACTACTGTTTTTTTTAAATAAATAAAAAATAATTGTATTTAAAGTAAAAGGGATTTATATTTTATATTTAAAATAAGTGAAGATTAATGTTTCTTTTAGGAAGATTGCATTGTGCATGAAATTCTGAGTTGTGCTACCAGTAAGGAGAATGAATAAATATATATATATATATATATATATATATATATATATATATTGTCATCCACAGACAGACTGTTTCACAGCTCATCAGTGTGGCTAGACATCCAGTTGCCTCTAGCAAGGATCTGAACTGGCATCAGTTGAAGATTCTACCCCTAAGCCATTGGTGAGGATGAAGGTGAATTTAAGTGTATTTATTTTTCATATCAACACACAGTGACTGAGAGAACTCAATTCACTTTACCGAAGAATCTTATACACATACACATGAAAAGTGCTGAACAATTTGGGTGCTTTGCCAACTTCCTAAAATTAGTATTTTAATAATCAAACATCAGAATATTGATTTTGTGAAATGGATCAAGATGAGAATTTTTCAGCATCCCATTGTACATACAAAAGTGAATCAATAAGTTTGGAACCTGGACCATAATGATTAGCCATATTTTGATTATAAAATTTCACTGTATAATATTTGATATGCGATTAATATGTATCCCTGAATTAAGTGCAGTGACATGAGAGTAGATTATGCTTAGAAATAAATGTTTGTTCTATAAAATAAACACTGTTTTCATCATTAGTCTGTAGACATGTTGCTATAATCACCCACACAAGTAGAATACATGAAAACTGATGAAAAATTGATAGAATATCAAAAATTAATGAAGTAACAAAAAAAAAAAATCAATTGTTTACTTCTGATATTAGAAAGGAAAAAAAAAAAGAGAAAAGAAACACAGAGTGAGAGGGAGAAGAAGGAAATATTGAGAGAGGAGGAAAGAAAAAGAAAGCCAAGAGGAGAAATCAATAGCAACAGAGTTGGAAGTGAGAAAGGAAATTAAGAGATCGAGAAAAGAATGTGAGGAGTGGATGAATTAAAGAAAATAGACACCAAAGTAGCTACATCATAAGAGGGTGGAGAAAAGAAAAGGAGAGGAAGTGAATTTAGTGAGTAGAAAGAGAGAGAGGCCAAGGAGAATGGAAACAGAGGGAATGGAAAAAAAGAGGAGTTTAGAAGAAAAGGAAAAGGCTAAGAGATATGACAAGAAAAGAAAAAGTGAAAATGAAGGAGGAAGAAATAAAGAGAGTAGGAAGAGAGAAAGAAAAAATAAGAAAAGAAAGTGTTAGAGTAAAAGGAATAAGAAAAATAAAGAAAACAGAGAGGAAAGAGAAAGAAAGATGGAAAAAATGAAAGTAAAGATACCAAAAAATGTAAGAAACAAAAAAAAATGGTAAAAATAAGGAAAAAAACAGAAAGAAAGAACACAAAGAGAAAACGAAAGAGAAGGAAAATAAAAAAAAGAATAAAGAGATGAGGAAGAGAAAAAGGGAGAACGAGGATGAGTTAAAAGGAAAAAGAGGAGAAGAATGAATGAATAGAGGTAAGAGGAGAAAATGGAGGAAGAAAAGGAAAGACAAGAGAAAGAAATAGGGGAGGAGGAAAGGGTAAGAGGTGAGGAAGGAGTAAAACGGATAAGTGGCTGAAGACAAGTAATGTAGATGAATTTATTTTGCTTTTCTGTATGCATGAAAGCATGCTCTCCACCATGATGATGACAGCAACAATGACAACAATGGGCACTTTCCAAGGAAGGGCGGGAAGGCAGGTGAGTAGGAGGGTTAACAAACAATATGGTCGAGGAGGAGGAGGAAGAAAGCTGAGACAAGGTGATAAGGCGAGAGTAACAGTCTTTGTTATCATCCCATATCTTCTTTTCCAGAGCACTGAGAATTGCCATCACTGCACTAGGTGCAGACATCTTTCTCTCAGTCGTCTCACCAAGAACGGGCTAGCAAGCAAGTGCCAGTGTTGATCTGAGATCGATTGACAGTTCTGCTGAATGGCTCTCCCTTGCTGGGTGTGATGGATGGGGTCAGCAGGGTCGCTGCTCAATAATACAGTTAATAACCAGCAGTTGGAACATTGTGCTTTTGTTATTGTAATAGCAGGGAAAGAAGGGAACAGATATTCACAGCTTATAATTACAAAACGGTCATGGAAGGAAAAAAAGGTAAAGATGAGAGAGAGAGAGAGAGAGAGTGGTAAAAAGATGGTTATTGGATTGCTAGCAGTTTTGGGATTCTGTGTACAATGATCAAGGTAAGAGAATTAGTGTTGCAATGGAGAAGGAAGAGGGGTAAGCAAACAAAAAAAAAAAAGACCTGACAATATTGAAAATAGGAGAATGGTAAGAATGAACAAAATTGAAAAGAAGAAACGAATAAAAAAAATGAAAGAAAAGAAGAAAAACAAAAGATCATGGAGTGATCAAGAACAATAAAATTTCTGTTCTTAAATTGTGTGTGCGCACACACGCACACACATATATATATACATGTATGTGTGTGTGTGCTTGCAGTTTAGAAGTAACTATTAATTGAGTATTTATATATATATATATATATATTTATATATATGTATGTATATATTACATCAAATGTTATAGCATTGTGTGAATGTATCTATCTATATATATATATATATATATATTAATTCAAGTGTTATAGCATGTGTGTGTTATAGAATAGTGTGTGTGTGCATATATATATTTATTACTTCAAATGTCATCATAGTATAGTGTGTATATATATATATATATATATATATATATATGAATATTTATGACTTCAAATGTTATTATAGTGAAGTAATAAAATGTTAGATTTGAAATATAAATACATTCTCTCTCTCTCTCTCTATATATATATATATATAGAGAGAGAGAGAGAGAGAGTCTGTAGTAAAATCATGATTGTTATTTTGCACTTGTGCCACAGTTTGATGTTTCAACTCTGGCAAAAACCACAATTTTTAAAACAGCCAGGCCCAGCTTAAATGAGTATAGAACTATATATATGCATATACTTTACAAATATTACTGTGTGTGTGTATACAATCACAGGTACCATATTTGTGAACAGAATGCATATATGAATATCTCATGATCATGGAGATTATTCTTTTCCATGTATCTCAAGTCAATGAGGCAAAGTGAATTTCTTCATCAAGGAACATGAAACCAGTATTATTTGATTACATGGTATCAGTAATAAGGAAGAATATCTGACCTGACTGTTATCAAATAGAGAGACAGACAGACACACAGAGGAGGGTGCTGAAGCTGAAAAGCTAAGAAGCCTTCAAAAAAAAAAAACAAAAAAAAAAACAACAAATTCAAAATTCTTCTTTGATCATTTGGTCATATTTTGGGAAATGGACTAAGCTGAAAACGTTTCAGCACTTCCTTCCATTTATATAAATACATCTTTCTTTTTTTAATATATTTTTTAATACAAGGCCCAAGAGCCTCTGAAGACAGGCTTATTGTGTGATGTTTTATGAGCATAAGGAAAAGCAAGAATTGCAGTTCATAAGATTATGTTTGAAAAATAATGGTTAACCCGAGACTTGAAGAGGTCAAGATTGTAATGATCATTCTTCCAGGAGACTGTTCTACAAAGCAGTAGTTCTTGGGAAGAAACTCTTTCAGTGGAACTTCTTACTAATGGAATATGAAGGGAATGAGGAAGATTTATCCTTGTTTACATGGCATGGTGGGTCCCAACTACAAATGTCAGGGCTGGTAGAACCAAGGAACATAGTATTTGTAAGAGCAACTGTGTATATGTATTCATTGGCTGTGTATATACTTATATGTATGAATAGGCATTTTTCAAATATTTATACATTTGTGTGTGTGTATGTCTATGTGTTTTGAATATATATATCAGTGGTGAAGGTTGTCTTGGAAACCAGGGTATGCAGTCTAATATGCAAGCTAATCACCAAAGTGGAGAGGGAAAAGAAGAACCTACTTGCTACTTCTAGGGCTGCATGAAAAAAATGAGACCCCCCACTAGAAACAAAAAGTTGTTTTTCACTGCTCTTTAAGAAAAAAAGTAAGTAATTTTTGTTTAATCTTGCTCACAATTCATCAAATTAACATTTTCTGTTTTAAAAAGACATAGACATTTTTACTTTAATTTTAAAAAAATGTTTATATAAATTTCTTATTGCTTGATGACAGGTGTCAGAAAATGGTGTTGATTGATGACTGGAAAAGTGAAAATTTATAATTTTGATGTAAACTAAATTAATATTATTTCAATTTCAACTGCTTTAATTACCCAAATGTTATATTAAGATAAAGTTTACCCTTTCTTCTTTAAAATAACACCAATATTAATAAATGAATTTAACATGTTTAATGAAATAATATACAATATTAGTAAAAGATTTCTTTATATCACTTCAAAAAAATAATTTTGAACATTTAAAATCAAATCTTGGGACACTTAAACAGATGAAAACTTACCTTTTAATCACATAAAATAGACTTCACCAGTTGCTTCTTTTCACTCCATGTATGAACTGGTCAAAAACCTTTTGAGTAATGGTTACATGACTGAATCCAAGTCTTAAGAAAGTATCAAGAATATTCTTCATGGTTTAAAACTTTTTAAGAGCCAGTAAAAAAAAAAAAAAAAAAAAAGAACTTTAAATGTAACACTAAAGTCTTCAGACGTTCCCTACATACTGTTCAGAATCAAATAATACAAATTTTTCATTTAAATCTGTCTGACTCTAAGTCCTTGATTTCAGTCACATGCAATAAAAACATCATCACTTCAGTCGAGAGTGTCTGCTGACTTAATACAACTGGAAAGCAAGCAAAAGAATTTCTGCTTTTCTATGGCTTTGTCTCTGTGATCCCCCACTTTATTATTCTGTTTTCATGCACCCAGCTTGAAGGGAATAACTAAACAAATAAAGCTTAAGCTATAGCCTTTTCTAATGCAAGCAAAAGAATTTCTGCTTTTCGGTAACTGTCTCTCTTTCACCCACTCACTATTATGTTCTGTCTCTCATGCTCCCTACTAAAAAGTCTAGTAAATGCATTGCTTTTACTTGTATTTTTTCTCACTAAACAACAAGTATTTTCTCTACTTCAATTATGTGCCACTGGTTTTTGAATTTGATGACATAATAAGTTCAACACCTGGACTGGGCAGTGTTATTTGGACTCTGTGAAAACAGGGCAAGCAATAACTACTCTTACTGGTTTGAATTAACTCTCCTTCTAGACTGAGTACCAAACAAGCTGGGAAAACTAACCAGATAACTGTCAGTGGGCGAAAAAGTGATGGATTCATGCCTTTTGTATTGGTGCTAAAGCAGTCATGGGCAAACTGCAATCTGCGGGTCACATGCAACTCATGTTGCTGTCTGAATAACATGCCTAATTTCATGAGAAAAATAGTTATGTACCATGCATGATACACACTTAAGCGAACATGTATCGAAAGATACATGACTGACGAGGCAATTTTTTTTTCCCCACAGTAGGTTGCCATTTCTTTCTGTGGTAGACCAGTTTCCATTCAAGGCCACAGAACTCAGTCTGTCCTGCTATTTACCCATAGCTGAGGGGGAGAAGAAGAGAATTCATTCCTTTCCCAAGGGTATTAGTGAATGTAATCTCTACTTACATTCACTAAATAATATGTCTTGTAACAGTTATCCTAAAAAAACAAAGAAATGGGAAATACAAAAAAATACAAGTACAAAGAGGATAGTGAAAATTGTCAATAATTATTTTTATATCAGACAAAATTATTTATCCTGGAAATAATGTAAAGCATGCCATGCAAGCATTGCATACATAGACCCATGCCCCTATCTATCTATCTCTCTATGCATATATATATATATATATATATATATATATATATATATATCTCCAAGTATAGAATTGATGTATATGGAATAAATTCCAATAACCAAAAATACTATTCTTAAAAGAGTGTTCAATATAGAGTAGAGAAAATATTATTCGGAAATTATAACATAAACATGCTCTTAAAACTCTTTATTCAACATTCAACACCATCAATTGATAAGACACCTGAAGTGTTGAAACAAAATGGCTATTTTTGTAGTGATTTTACAACATGTTTATGTTATAATTTTTGAAAAGATTATATATATATATATATATATATATATATATATATATATATATATATATATATATATGTGTGTGTGTGTGTGTGTTTCAAAACTATTAGAATATATTTCTATATACCTCTGGTATGACTTTTTATATCTATTTTATTATTTTTATGCACATACATATGGAGATGCTTAGCTTTGACTGGCATAAGGACACAAATCTGAGGCACTAAGAGATGATCAGGCTTCTATCTGTAATGTTAGTTTCTTGCCACCATTTTATAGTAAATGCCTTTACACACAAACACATTCACATGTATGACATTAACACTATGGCATCAGTTACTGTACCTCATTTAGACCAAAGAATATCTTCATTGGACCATGAAAGATTGGCATTATGTCCTCTAATCAGACTAATCACATTTCCAATTCTTTTGGGTAGATGGTGAAATTTATAAGTCAAAGAGATCACAAGAAGCTATGGATTCAGTCTGTCAGCAGTGTGTTGTACAAGCTGATGGTGGTTTGTAGTTGTGTGGGATGTCTTCACTTGGCACTTACAAGAATCATTCATGAAAGGGGATTTTATCTCTTGACAAGTGTGACATAACATTTGCTCCTCAATGCCTCTTTCATTGGACCAAAGAGATGGAAGTCTGAAGGTGCTAAGTCAGGTGATGTTGAAGAAGTGAACACTGCTGTAAGGAATTGGCACCATCAGCAGCCAGCCAAGCTTTATGAAGCTGGGATACATGCCCTCGTTTGTTGGTCGAACACTGCCTT